AGGAGGAGGGGTTGAACCGTGTTTTGTGCTTGGCTGCTCAGTATTCACAGAAGGACTCAGTGAGCCAGGGCTGGTGGAAGAAACTAGAGGGACAGCGGTTGTTGAAGACATAATGGACGCTGTAGTTGTCTGTGTAGTTTCTGGTGCAGAAGTGCTAGAGGAGCCCGATGTCACAGGAAGTGAGGTTTCCTGACTTGGCATAAAGCTCCGACTGGAAGACATAGATATGGTTGAGGAAGAGGGCACAACCGTGCTGTGCAATCCTTCCGAGGAAGGAGCGGGAGAAGGAGATGTGACCTGTGACTGAGTGGAAGTCTCCTTGGGTGTGCTGGGACTGGACCTTGTTTGGCCAGTTGTGTGGCTGGAGCCATGGTTTTTGGCAGTGGAAAAGGTGGAGGGCAAGCTGCTCTGAAGATTTGCCGTGCTGGAAGAAAAGCTACTGTGCACAATACTTGATGTTTCCGCATTGGTACTCACAGTTGTTGATTGCAATGTTCGCTCGTGGGAGGTTGTCATTGTGGAAGAAGGAGGAGGGGTTGAACCGTGTTTTGTGCTTGGCTGCTCCGTATTCACAGAAGGACTCAGTGAGCCAGGGCTGGTGGAAGAAACTAGAGGGACAGCGGTTGTTGAAGACGTAATGGACGCTGTAGTTCTCTGTGTAGTTTCTGGTGCAGAAGTGCTAGAGTAGCCCGATGTCTTAGGAAGTGAGGTTTCCTGACTTGGCCTAGGGCTCCGACTGGAAGACACAGATATGGTTGAGGAAGAGGGCACAACTGTGCTGTGCGACCCTTCCAAGGAAGGAGCTGGAGAAGGAGATGTGACCTGTGACTGAGTGGAAGTCTCCTTGGGTGTGCTGGGACTGGACCTTGTTTGGCCAGTTGTGTGGCTGGAGCCATGAGTTTTGGCGGTGGAAAAGGTGGAGGGCAAGCTGCTCTGAAGATTTGCCGTGCTGGAAGAGAAGCTACTGTGCATGACACTTGATGTTTCTGCATTGGTACTCAGAGTTGTTGATTGCAATGTTCGCTCGTGGGAGGTGGTCATTCTGGAAGAAGAAGAAGGGGTTGAACCATGTTTTGTGCTTGGCTGCTCAGTATTCACAGAAGGACTCAGTGAGCCAGGGCTGGTGGAAGAAACTAGAGGGACAGCGATTGTTGAAGACGTAATGGACGCTGTAGTTGTCTGTGTAGTTTCTGGTGCAGAAGTGCTAGAGGAGGCCGATGTCACAGGAAGTGAGGTTTCCTGACTTGGCCTAGGGCTCCGACTGGAAGACACAAATATGGTTGAGAAAGAGGACACAACTGTGCTGTGCAACCCTTCCGAGGAAGGAGCGGGAGAAGGTGATGTGACCTGTGACTGAGTGGAAGTCTCCTTGGGTGTGCTGGGACTGGAACTTGTTTGGCCAGTTGTGTGGCTGGAGCCATGAGTTTTGGCAGTGGAAAAGGTGGAGGGCAAGCTTCTCTGAAGATTTGCTGTGCTGGAAGAGAAGATACTGTGCACGATACTTGATGTTTCCGCATTGGTACTCAGAGATGTTGATTGCAATGTTCCATTCTTGGATGTATTCCTTGTGGATGAAATGGAAGGGGATGAATCGTTCGTTGTGCTTTCTTTCGTAGGAGCTGGGGTGCTGTTACTCTCTGTAATGAATGTAAACCATATTTAAGTGTCAGAAATAGATTAATAAGAAGTGTTTTGAAATATATGAAAATGTAATTAATTCTTTTAAACCACCTTCTTAAACTTTTCTGAAATGCCACAAATGGCGGATTTGTCATGTAAAGTCGTTGTGCAACATTGTGCAATTGAGGGTTCCTGAGAGCAGACTTGCTCTCAGGCCAGCCTGGAGCAAGAGCAGTCAGGCCGTATCTTTTGGGATAGGCAGGATGCCAGCGTGAGCCTCTGGCCAGGTGCAGCTGGCATGGCGCCCACAGAAGTTCCTTAAGAGAGCCCTGCAGGTGCCCTAATGTCTTCTCCTGCCTGGTGAAGCCGATCCTCAGCCCTGCTTCCTCACTACGGCCGGACTGGAAAGGAATCCCCAAGACACCATCCATGGCTCTATGTTTTCCCACATTCCATGAATGACAGGGATGGAGGGAACACTTACCAAGTGTTGTAGTTAATGCGGGAGAAAGAGGCTATAATAACATTTCACATAAATAGATTTTTGCTTTAAAATGGGGAGAGGGAATAAAATGCCAAGATAGAAGGCGGGTTCCTGGCTTGGCAGCATGTCCTCCCCAAAAAGTCTTGAACAGTCCAGCAAACCCCCGGGGGGCAATTCCTGGCCAACGTTAGGAGAGTTACTGAACAGCCAGTGCAGCTTGGCAAGGAGGCCGAGGACCCCCAGAGGCTGAGACTCCCTCCGCAGACGTGTTTAAGGGGGCAGAACCGGGATGTGTTTGGCTGGATCCCATGGCTCCAGGAGCCCTTTCGCCCTCTCCTGGGAGCCTCCGAGCCCAAAGGAAGCCCTCCCCCACTTCGGTCTGCCTCTGTCCAACTCAAGGCAGGGCACATTTTTTAATTTTCTTTCTGTAATACGGGGGACGGGTACCGAACAGTGTCAGCTTCACCTGGAAATTCACCTGTGCAGACCCAGCCAGGCTTCCTCTTGGAAATATGGAGAAGCAGGGAAAGACGGCAAACCACTGACTGCCTTCTCTGCCAAACATAAGCCTTGAATGAACGTAGTTTGTGTGTGTGTGTGTGTGTGTGTGTCTTGATGATGGGGGGGAACGGAAAGCGGTTTCTCTCAAGCTACAAGTCATTGACTTCTTCACAAGTCACAGGGCCGCCAGCCTTCTGGCAGAATGCAGTATTTCCAATATTAAGCCAAAATCAAGAACAGGATAGGGGGCATCAGCTGCAACTGGCAGGAGGGAACTTCAAAAGCCAGAGTTTTGGAGTTAAAATAAATTAATATTGGTATGTATTATAATTGGATTGTTTTACTTAGATGGGGGTTGTTTATTTACTCCTGTATTTAGTTCTGGGAAGTCCGGGGGGGGGATGGGGGGAAAATGGATTTTTTATGTATTTTGGTATACTAGAATGGTAGTGAGATATAATGTAATAGGAGGTTTTTTAAGTTTGTTCTTGTTTTTATTATTATTATTATTATTGTATGCCATAATTATATTTCTGTTTATTCTAAAAAATTAATAAAAAATTGTTTAAAAAAAAAAAAGCCAGGCCAAAAAGGGACAATTTCACAGAAAGAATAGTGGAGGCTTTGTCAGCCAACTTCCAGTAGAGAGTGTGGGCCGATCATCAGTAACTGGATTTAAACATGTTTGGGATAAACACAAGTCTATCCTCCAACAAAAATTAAAATTAATATAAATGACTATAATTATTAAAAATAATAAATAAATGGGGGAAAAAAACAAAAACACACAAAAGTCCCAAAGGGCAGACTCGATGGGCCTCTGGGTCTTTTTCTGCTGTCGGTTTTCTTTGTGCCCCAAAAGTAAAGGCGAAGGGCTGGCAGAGAAAGCGGCTTCCCCAGGAGGTGCCTTTTCCCTCTGCCGGGGAGCCGGGGGGGGGGGAGGGAGGCCGTTGGCAGGAATGCCAGGGTGGGGAAGGGTCTGCCCATGGCACGGAATCCGCTTCTGACTGTCCCAAAGACCCAGAATCGGCCTCCGGTCTGCTGGCATGAGAGCCCATGGTACTCACTGGGGGCAAAACGCCAGGAGCCGGCAGCCGGTCTTCCAGCTAAATCCTTTCATTCAACGGCAAAAGCTTTTGGAATCCGAGCGAGAGAGACTTCTGCCTTGTGATGGAAGGTGCTGCCGGCCTCCCTCTTTCCCATGCCAGGCGGTCAAGCGTCCCTTCCCTGGGAGGGGGTGGAGCAGCCGGTCCGTGGGGAGGGTCTTTCCCTGGGCTTCAGCGGGAAGCCCGGCTGGCATGCCGGAGGGAGGTCCAGAGGGCCACCAAGCATACCAGCCGGGCTCCCTGCTGAAGCCCAGGGAAAGACCCTCCCCACGGACCGGCTGCCCCACCCCCTCCCAGGGAAGGGACCCTCAGCCAAGCCTGGTGAGCAGAGAAGGAGAAAAGGACCACCGACTGGAATCAGTGTTGCTCTTTATCCCTCTTCATTTCCATTAGAACAACTAACCAGGGGAACTACCTGCCTCCAGAAGTGCTCCAACACTGGAAGTTTTTAAGAAGAGACTGGACAGCTATTTGTCCGAAACAATATAGGGTTTCCTGCCTGAGCAGGGGGTTGTACTAGATGACCTCCAAGGTCCCTTCCAACTTTTATTATTATTATTATTATTATTATTATTATTATTATTATTATTATTATTATTATTATTATTATTATCATCATCATCATCATCATCATCATCATCATCATCATCATCATCATCATCCTCGCAAGCAGCCTGGCTTGGAGGCAACTGTCCTCCTCCTCCTCAATGGCCAGCAGAGGTAGCTCACCCCCCTGATGTAGCCTGTGAATAAGGGGGGGGGGACAAGCCAGACCCCCCAGAAGGGCTTTAATGAACGGGCAGGTCTCCTTCAGGGCAGGGAGCAGCAGAGTGGCCTGGGCACCTCCAGAGAGCCAGCAGACTGGTCCTCCCCCCCCGTCCCCAAATCCTTACTTGCAATGCTGATCAGGAGCAGCGTCCCCCAGAAGCAGAAGACTGCCGGATGCGCCCCCATTCTCCTGGCATCGGCCCATCCAGAGCGAGAGCCGTGGGCAGAGGGCAGGAACAGGTACTTCCTGACCGAGGAACAAGGAACAAACACAGCCTCTGTTGCGCTCAGCACCAGGCAGGATTTGAAGCCCAGAATGGCAAACAAAGATTACCGGAGGGAGTGGTGGCATCCAGCAATGCCACCGCAGCCTTCGAGAGGATGCTGAGAGGGCGAGGCTTGGCACACTCAGAGGGCAGCATCGATGCCAGCCCTGCCATGCAGGCGAGTCCGGGCAAATGGTGGGCTGGGCTTGGGGGAGGCGGGTCTGGTCAAGGAATCACGGGGCAAAGGCAGAGGGGTCAGTTGCACCCGATGGGCATGTGCCAAGAGCTAGCCCGCCCAGGGTAAATAACCTCTACAAAGGACACTGGGCAAATATTTGCACGTACACCTGTGAGCCCAGCTGGGCACTCCCAGAAACCCGGGAGAAGCAGAGAAGGAACGAAGAGGTGGGATGCGGGTTAGAGGATAGCAAGCCCCCCCCAGAAACTGAAGCCAGGAGAAGGAGAAGCAGAAGGCCGGCCCAGTGCCTGCCCCGACCTCTGGGCCTCTGAGGAGGAGCCAGTTGCCTCCAAGCCAGGCTGCTTGCGAGGATAATGATGATGATGATGATGATGATGATGATGATGATGATGATAATAATAATAATAATAATAATAATAATAATAATAATAATAATAATAATAATAATAATAATAATAATAATAAAGTTGGAAGGGACCTTGGAGGTCATCTAGTACAACCCCCTGCTCAGGCAGGAAACCCTATATCGTTTCGGACAAATGGCTGTCCAGTCTCTGGGCCTCTGAGGAGGAGCCCCGGCCAGGGTCCTTTGCAGGGCGCTGGGGATGGAACATAAGAGTGCTGGGGCTGGAAGGGACCCTGGAGGTCCTCTAGGCCAACCCCCTGCCTGAGCAGGAGACTTTACACCGTTCCAGACGACCCCTCCTTGAAGGCTTCCAGGGGTGAAGCACCCACATGTCATGGAGGCAGCCCTTTCACTGTTCTCACTGTCGGGGACCTGGGAAGGGCAGGGTGGCCTCAGCCCCCCCTCCTTGCTGGCTCTGAGGGAAAAGGCAGAGCAAGCCCAAGGAGCTCTGGCCTCAGGGCAGCCCCCGGGCTAAACAAGTTGGGATGCCGCACTGCTTTTGTGCTGTCCTTGGCCGCCTCGGGAGGCTCCAACCTGACGGGCTCGTGGCTGCAAACTAGGGCAGCCCCAGAGGGGGCGAAAGACCCCTGCCCTCCCCGGCCCTCGTCTCAGCCACTTTGGGCCGAGGGGGGGGGAATCTGCAGAGGAAGCCACAAAAGGAAGGGAGGGGGGAGAGGCCCGACTGAGGGCCTGCTTTCCCAGGAAGGCCTGAACCGCCGTCTCTCCTTCCACCCTTCAAGGGGGGGGGTGTGGCATCAGTGGCCCTCCTGAGCCTCCCTGCAGATGGGCTTTCCCCCCCCCAGACTGCTGCCCAGGCTGTTCCTTTTCAGCCTGGTGTTTTCCCTGTTCAGCTCAGCCTCCCCACATCTGCCCGATTCTCCCCCAAAGCCATTTTTGCCCATCTGGGACTCCTCGTGCTCCCTGCCCATCCCCATTCTGCATGCATTAATGCTGAGCCTCACTGGGCACCTTCACACACTTTCCCAGGCCCCGGAGGAGACCTCTGGGGGCCCCGGTCAGGCTGGGTGGGAGAATTTGTGCCTTTCACGACGCCTGAGGCCCCCTGCCCAGAAACCACCCACAGCAGAGAGGGGGGAATCCAACCCCCTCCTGGTCCACAGAGAAAGGGGAGTTTTGGCCCCAAAGCCATCTGAGTCCAAATCAAACCAGAAATGGGGGGTGGGTGGAGGAATGTGGAGCTGCTGCAAAGAAAAGGGGGGGGGTCAACTTATTTTCCAAAGCGCCTGAAGGCAGGATGAGAAGCAACGGATGGGAACTAATCAAGGAGAGAAGCAACCTGGAACGAAGGAGAGACTTCCTAACAGAACAATTAACCAGTGGAACATCCTGCCAACAGAAGTTGTGGGTGCTGCATCACTGGAGGTTTTCAAGAAGCGACTGGACAGCCTTTTATCTGAAATGGTATAGGATTGACTGTTTGAGCAGGGGGTTGGACTAGATGACCTCCAAGGCCCCTTCCAACTCTGTTATTCTAAATGATGGGACCTAGTCCTGCCATCGGGCACTTCGGTGCCTCCGCTCTCCCACCCAAGATAAAATTGCAAACAGGTTTGCCTGGATTCCACACTGCTGACCGTGGGCCCATCCCGGAGAAGAAGAGGCCGGGGCAAACACTCCTGGGTCCAAAGAGGAAGTAAAGTGTACTTGATCCTTGGGGAGGCAGGCACGGGGGGGGGGGGC